AAAATAAAATAAATAAACAATATCATAATACTACAACAAAAACGACATTTTACAATATATGAAAGACAATATTCGTTAATTGTTTGTTTTTAAAATGAGTCTATTGCAACATCAAATATGTGCATGTTGCTGTTGGTTAAAATGATTGATATTGGAGTCTATCGCAACATCAAATATGTGCATGTTGCTATTGGTTAAAATGATTGAGATTTGGCAATAGTATTCTAATGCATGTTGCTATTGTCGTCTATTGCAACGTTTGTTGATTGTTAAAAAAAAAAGGTTCATATATTTCGTATTTTTTTAATGTTCAAAGAGAGTTATTAAAACCTTATGCTATTGCGACGTTCAAAACATAGACATAAATAACGATAAAAGCATAGACAACATGCAAATAACTTTGCCAAAAAGGATATTAATAACATTCAGTGAATGTTACAAAGTTATAAGGATAAAATCATACACAACGACATAAAACGTGGCCAAAAAGGTTATTAGAAACACTCAACGAACATTGCAAAAAATAAATACAATAGTCGACGAACATTGCAAAAGGATGTTAAGACAACAGTCAAGTGATTGTTGCAAAAGTATTTTTAAGACAATAGGCAATGAACGTTGCAAAAAATAAAAAGACAATGTTCGCTGAAAGCATTTTGTGACGGTCTTTGAAAATTGTCGTATCGTTCTACTTTACGACGATATCGAAACCTGCAACATATGTGTGAACATTAAAAGGTCTTTCACAACATTTTTTACATGTTGAGAATGACAATTTTGTTATAGAAAAAGTCTTAAATACCATTACCATTGTAAAAGACCTTAACATCCTTGTCAATTCAATTCAATTTTAGATAATTCGAGTCTTCAAGGTATCCATAAATTCTCGACGCTTTCTAATAACCATAAAGTATCCATAAATTCTTCAAGGTATCCATAAAGTCTCCAAGCATTATCTGATATGTTAAATGGCACTAGAACTGTTATCTACTAAACGAGGTGGACGGGGAAATTCATGATAATGTTATGTCAAGAAAGGTGATGTGACCATTAAAACGAAGAGGCAGTAGACGTTCATAAAAAGAAAAAAAAAAGAAACAATCAGTTGGAAATGAGTGGAAGTCTCATAAGTGTAGCAGGTGTTCGAAAATTGGGCATAATCCATCACTTGTACAAATAGTGCACCACTCAACGAGAGACGTGAATAATGAACTTCCTAACGTATGTAACTACTCCAATATTTATCGAGCATTGGTGAAGCCCCTTCAACTTAATCAATGGCCTAATGGTCAAATATGTAGTCATCTTTTTCTTCTTTAAGTGTACCCATTTTTATATGGGCTTTCTTGACAAGTTGCCAAAAACAACAATCCAACATTGCACAATCTTGCTGAAATAAATGCGGATATGTCACTGGCCTTTCCCTTATGTGGTATAAGGTCGAGTCCACGTGCTCTATGATAACTTTCTCCTCTTTAAGAGATTATTGTATTGAGGGAGCGACACCGTTGCTCTTCTCGTAACTCGATTCCCCATTCCTAGAGATAATTCATAATTCAGATCCTTGACCACAATGATTTCATTATCTAGTTGACAGACATGTGAAATATTGATCAAATGCTCTCCAATATTGCCTTAAAAAATTATCCAACACAATTCAATTTAGGGGTGAACGCGGTTCAATTTTGGCTGTTTGTGCCATATTTTCAACTCAAACCATATCACGTAGTTTGAAATTTTTCCAAACCAAACCATTATTTGCAGTTTTGTTCTATTTTTATATGTGGTTTACCTATCAATATTACAGTAATATATTTAAAACAAGTTAACATATA